TTGTTATTATATATATATATATATATATATATATATATGCTTTAAAATAGTTAATTTAATTATTATCTTATTTTAAATTGAGAAAAAAAAAATAATAAATATGCAATATGTGCATATATATGATATAGAACAATATAAACCTACATAATAAAATATACATATAGAACAATATAAACCTACATAATAAAATATACATAAAGAATAATATAAATAAATATATATATAAAAAAAGAAAAAAATAATAAAAATTTTCTTCCATACTTTAGCTAGAGTGGATAATGCAGTACCCCAATAATCATGATTGATATTAAATAATTCTGAAACTATAGCACTGATTGATCCTTGAGTTGAATCATCTTCATCAACAACATTATATGTTTTTCCTATAGTATCTGGGCTATTTACTACATGCCAAATAGCTCTAGCTACATCTCTCACATGAACTGTATTCATATGAAGATCTGGTCCCCAAAGTAACTTCATCATTTCTCCTAAATGTTTATAAACAGCTCCTACCACTAAACGTGGTGCTATAAATGAAATTTTTTATCTATATATGGAATATTTTACAAAATTATATTTATTTTTATATTCATTTTTAATTTTTTAATAAAAAATATATTATTATTACCTAATCCATTTCTATCACCACAACCATATACAATAGCAGGTCTAAGTATTGTATAATTTAAATTTGGTATATATTTTAAATCATTCTCTACTTGTAATTTATATTTTGCAACAAATGTCCATGGTTCTCCAGATTCTTCTTCTTTAAGAGGATGCTAAAAAATATTAAAACTTGATATTTGTAATAAATTATTTGACACAATAATAATAAAATTCACATACTTTTTCAGAAGTATTAAAATTACCAGAAGATATTTCTACATAATGATTGACTTGTAATTTTGCAGCTTGTTGAGCACAATTCATACTCAACTTATAAATTCCTTCTTTATATACAGGATCTGTTTGACCACTTTTTGTTTCTCCAGCACAATTGATTACAAAATCAATTGGATTATCAGATAAAAATGCATTTTGACAAGATACTATAAACAAAAAATTCAAAGATTAATTGTAATATACTATATATAAAATATATAGTTAATAAATAATTATTATTGTAATTGTCTCATCGAAATTACATAAAATTTTCACCGATATTCACATTACCTGCATTGATTAAATTAGCACTTTTAAATTCAAGCAAAGGATGCTCAAATAATTGTTGGTGTTTAGCATTTAGCCAAGCGGTTTGCGGCGGTACTTTATCTACGACACGTATAAAAGACACAAGATCGTTATCAAGTAAATATTCTACAAGATTACGACCTATGAAACCACATCCTGTTTCAACGATAAAATTTCTTTTCAGTTATATTATTTATCACTTCCGCTATATACTATCATATAAATTAAAATATTTTTACCTCCTAGAATGATTATTCTTGGCTTTTTATCAGAACCAGATGTTGCCATAATTATTTATTGTCATTTAAATTTACACCGTTATTTCTTTATAAGTTTTCGTATACTTATGTCAAAATGAAGAAAACGTTAAGCGTTATGATACTTCATAAAAAAAAACTCCAATTGCGATATGGTTATCAAATCACTGTGCCACCCTTCATCTAACCTTAAAAATTTACTGCAATTAAATATGCTATCACTGTGTTACACCAATATTTCTTGTCAAGATCATCAATACTAAATGTAGTTTTTGACTGTCTTAAGTTAGAGGAAGACAGAATCATGAGGTACCGTTCACTGACAATTCTTGAATGCAATTTAAATACATTCCAAATTGTATATCAGTCACTAATAAACAAAATATGAAGAACAACTACTAAAAAACGAGATTACGAATGATCGATATATTTGGCCGAGTTCTAAAATTAAAACAAATGCAGTCGATAGAAATGTTCTTCTTCTTTATTGACAGAGATTTGATTTTACAATAATTATAAATTTTTATTATAGATTTCATTATAAATATTCTATATATTATAAGTTAGCAATTAAAAATTAAAAAAAATATTATTATATATTATAATATCATCCGTATATATTAAAACTATTTTCATATAATAATAAGATAAAAAATTTTTTATTTATATATGTTTTAATATTTTTTCTGATTTTTTTCTTAATCTATACTAAATAAAATATTAAAATATGCAAATATTTTATAAGTCAATCAAGTTTTGTAATTAAAAAAATAAAATGTAAAATGCAACTCAAGTTTCTATCAACGTCGATGTTCTATTGCCATCTATTAGTTTATGATCTATTTGCTGTGCGTCTGGCATGTAGAATTATAAAATCAGAAGTTCAGTTGATTTTTATCAATTTTTTTGAAATATTACATTTAAACTATACTTGTATCCATTAAATTTTATCATTTTTTTATTAAAATAATTATAGTAGTTCGAAAGTGATCAAAATCGCACTAGTTAATGATGAAAAAATGATATAAATTCATGGTGTCTGTGTTCCGACATAAATGTGAGAGAGGAAAGGAAGAGATGTGTTGGTGGATGAATTACTACAATTTGCTTAATAGCTAATAGACTCAATTCTTTTCTTTTTTAATTTATTGCCTTCAATCTTCTTGGCAAACATGCTGCCATAGAATCGTATCTGAAAAACCGATACAAATGGATTATGAAGAAAGAACCCAGATGTGACAGCTAAGCGCGAATTCCGGACCTTGCGCATCAAAGTTCGGCGCTTTAATCACATCGTAAACCTGTGCATCTAGACTTTAAAAATATTTCTGGTATGCTTTTACGATCTGTTCACGATGTCCGCATATGCGACGATACTGCCATATCTCATCTTAGGATTGTTAGGTAATTACACATTCTATTATCTTTTATTTGACAGTTGTATTCGCAAGTTAAAATACATAATAATGCGAAATCTTTCAGAAATTATATCATTTTTTTCAAATACATTTTGAACTTTTAGTAAAATTGTATAATTGTTTTATAAATCGATATTATGTTGTGATATTAATTAAAGGAAAGAAAAAAAAGAAAGTATAACAAAAAAAGAAAAGGTGCGCGTTTTCTTCTAGATTTGCTAATAAAGAATTTGTCTGTAAGGCTATTTAATAAGCTTATGTTTGAAATATTGAAATAGTGAAAGTCAAAAAAAGATTAAAGAATGTATTTCTAGAAAATAATAAACGATAACTTTCAATAAATATATTTTTGATATTTCCTCTGACAAATATAAAAAGATCGCCATAATATTTAACAATAATATAAATATAAAATTGATATGTTTAATTCTTCTCTCAGATGTTGATCCGTTGTCATGAGACATAGATTTAAAGATAGATATAAAAGAAAAGGAAAAAAACAATGTATTATAAATATATTTTTCAAAATGCCCAAGGCTTGAGCCAATTTACGACAAATATAATGTCGAAACAATCGACAAAGACTTCGCTGTTCTTGATCATATTAGAGACGATGTATATACCGCAAAATAACGACTTAGTGATCGGTGTTAATGCAATCGATGTTAATGCGATCGATGTGAAATAAATATTTTATTTGTATAATCACTTTAGAAAAAAAATTAAAAATTCTGGCAATGATGAAGCTATCTAAATATATGATATTGTTTGTTATTTTAATTTTTAATGATACTCTTGATTAATTATTTATTTGTTTTCCTGTTTTTGTTATGTATTTAATCAAATATTTTATATTTATATATGTGATTTATTATTCTATGTTTATTGAATTGAATTACAAATATACGATTCAAATATTTTATTTATTTTTTTCTATTATAGAAAGATATTTATAAAAGATATGAAAGATTAGAATTTCATCTCATGAAAATTTTTTGTAAATTTTTTTGTATATATATTTCTTAATAAAACAAGAAAATATCTATAAAATTGAAAAAGTCAAAAAGATTATAAAAAAATTTTTATAAAAAATTAAAATAATTAATTAAAATTTAAGAACAGAATATTATATTTGAGTTTTAAATTTAGAATTATTAAACATTATTTGATAATTAATATTACTTTCAGTTTTTCATATTGAAAAAAAATACACAAGAAAAAAAAATATTAAAATTAAAGAAAAATAACTTTAGAATAAAATGATGATAATTAAATTAGATTAGATAAATTAAATATATGGCAAAAAAATAAATTATGTGACAATGAATTTAGAAGATTCATATATAATTAATAAAAAAAATAGTATTTTTCTTTAATTAAATATAATAACTATATATCTATACATTTTATGAAATTCATTATATAATGTTATTAAAATTACTTTCTGTAACTGTTTTCTTTCTATAAATATTTTATTACAAATTTTAAGCTTTTTTTTTTTAATATTGAAAATTTAATTTTTAGGATTTTCATTAGGACACGATGTCAAAGGTTCTTCAGTTTGTGAATTTTATAATGAAACGATGTGTGCAGAATCTCAGCAAGAATGTTCAGGAAGAGAAGAATGTGGACCACATGATCCAGGCAAAAGAAATCATTGTTATGTGCTGTGGCAAATTGATAATGTGACTAAGAAGTCTATAATTAAATTAAAGGTGCAAAAGAAAGAATTATAGATTTGATAATATTTATTTTTAAGAAGTTCTATTTTTATGATTAAATTATAAATTTCAGGGATGTTTTTTAGATAGTAATGATTGCTATGATAGACCACATTGTATTGAAAACAGTGCAGAAAGAAAAAAAGAATTATTTTTTTGTTGTTGCGATGGTAATATGTGCAATCAGAATTTCACATGGGATCCTCATCCAACTTCTTCTTCTAAACCTATTCAGCCTTCTGATATTCATGGTAAGTATTCATTTTAAGCAATGATTGAATATTTATTCTATTAAAATTGAAATATTAAAATTATTTCAGATTCAGAACCTGTTCCAAATACAGAACAACAAATAATAACACTTGTTTTGTCAATATCAATACCCATGCTCTTGCTTGCTATTATTTTGCCATTTTTATACTGGTGTTACCGACGTCGGAAGTCGGGATATTTCAACGAGGTTTGGAAGGCATATGTACAGATCTCTTAATTACTAAATGTTATAAGTCTTTAGTTACATATTATATCATAAATTATTCTTATTACATAAATGTCACACAAAATAATTTTTGTAGGTACCAACATTAGAACCTCTTCCATTACCACAACCATCTCCTAATTTGGGATTGCGTCCAATACAACTTCTTGAAATAAAAGCTCGAGGTCGTTTTGGAGCTGTTTGGAAAGCACAATTGAAAAATGAGATTGTTGCTGTTAAAGTGTTTCCAATACAAGATAAACAATCTTGGCAAACTGAACAAGAAATTTTCAAACTTGCCCACATGGATCATGAAGATATATTACGTTTTATAGGCGTTGAAAAGAGAGGAGATAATTTACAAGCAGAATTTTGGTTAATTACTTCATATCATGAAAAAGGTTCATTATGTGATTATTTGAAGGCAAATGTTGTTACATGGCCTGAGATGTGTAGAATAGCAGAATCCATGGCAAGGTAATATTTCAATAAAAGTTTAAGAAATATCTTATATAACTTCTATTGTGATAAGATTTTTAATTTATTAGAGGTTTGATGCATTTGCATGAAGAAATTCCAGCCAATAAAGCAGATGGGTACAAACCTGCTGTGGCTCATAGAGATTTCAAGTCAAAAAATGTTTTACTTAAAGCTGATATGAGTGCTTGTATAGCAGATTTTGGTTTAGCATTGATATTTCATCCTGGCAAACCTTGTGGAGATACACATGGACAGGTATATATTAATATTTTAATATGTATACATATATTAAAATATATAAGATTTATTATTTATATATATATAGGTTGGAACAAGAAGATATATGGCCCCAGAAGTTTTAGAAGGAGCAATTAATTTTACAAGGGATTCGTTTTTACGAATTGATATGTATGCCTGTGGACTGGTACTTTGGGAGTTAGCTTCACGATGCACTGTGCAAGATGTAAATTCTTATTTATATATATTTTAGTCCATTTTAAATATTGCATTATTAATTGAATTATATTTATTTTAGGGACCAATAGGTGAATATAGATTACCATTTGAAGATGAAGTAGGTCTTCATCCTACTTTGGAAGATATGCAAGAAAGTGTTGTGCATAAAAAAGAGAGGCCAATCATTTTAGAAACATGGCGTAAACATCCTGTAAGTAAATTTTGTTTTACCAAATTATAAAACATACATATAATTTATTTTAAAAGGAACTAATTTTCACAATTTTATGCTATTTTTAAGGGACTTCAATCAATTTGTGATACAATGGAAGAATGTTGGGATCATGATGCTGAAGCACGTCTTTCAGCTTCTTGTGTAATGGAAAGAGTTGCTACATTGAGTAGGACGCTTGTTTTAAATTCGTCGACATTAATACGAGTTGATAATACCAACGAGACTATTACTACTAAGGAATCTAGTATGTAGTTGATTTATGTGTATTATAGTTTTAGTTAAATTGCACAACCATTTTCTGTATCATAATTTTTGCGCATACATTAATGAGGAATGTTTAAATATCAGATGATATTTTAATAATTATTTTTTATTTCATTGTTTTTCTTTTTGTTGTTTATGAGGATCTCTTATTATGTTTTAAAATAATTTAAATGGTAATTAATCAAATTATTTTCATGATTAGCTAATAAAATTTTAAATAGAAATATTTTTATTAACTTAAAAATAATTTTTTTAAATTATTGTTATTTATTAAACATAATTATAGTCTCAATATACTTCATCTTTGGGCTATTTATACAGAATGTTAATATATTTATAGAACATCTTAAAAAATTTATTCTAAAACAGACAAAAGTATTCTTAAAAGAAACAAAAGTTAATATATAAAAATATTTGAAGCTTATTTAAAAGTTATAAAAAGTTAAGTTTAAGTTCACATTAAATAAAATGAGACGAAAATAGAACTATCTTGTTATTTGAAGAGTGAAATAACCGTCTCATTTAATGAATAAATTGCTTATAACTTAATAAATAAGCTTTAATTGGCTATATCAACTTTTGTGTTTTTAATCTCTAGAATCCTTCCAAAAATATTCTACAAATATATTAATACTATGCATAAATCATTCATATCATTTAAATTATACAGTTAATATAATTAAATTAAATACTAATAATTTTTTTATAAATTCAAAGTATTAGTAAATCAATTATTCATTAAATTTAATTTTTTATTGCATGTTTAAAATTAAGATAATTTATGATGAAAAACAGCTTAATTAAACGTTCCTAGATTTTTGATTCTTAAAAATATTTACATTTCATTCATAAATCTCAGTTTATTGAAAAATACAATGTAATTAGAAATATTTCTTTATATATACAATAATGAACATAAATATTGAGATTCTTATTTTTTATTTTCTGTTGAAATAATTAAAATTTATCAAATAATATTATAATGATATTATTATTTTCTTTTTTTAATTTAAAACAACCTCATTCCTCATTGATGTCAGCAATCGTGCAATGATTGATCAGAAATAACAAAATGAATTAAACACTAGCCAAGTGGACATTCAATGGATAATTTTTATCCATAAGTCTTATCATATGTGAATTGTTACAAAAATAACTCAACAATTTTATACAAAGTACCTGGTAGAAACAGTCAAGTTAACTAATTGGAAGCCATGAGGAATTTATTAGGACTTTTTTACATGAAATGAGCTATTTTGATTTTTTGCATTTTAAAGCATAAAATATTTAAGATGACTAATTTATTTCGCGAAATAAGATTTTTTCCATGACTTTTTTTTTATTTTACAACAAAAGGATGAAAAATAGAGATTAATTTATTGAGAATATATTGATATCTATTTTAATTAACAAATATAGACTTTCTAAATTTAATAATTTTCATATTAATTAAATTAAAAATGTATAAAATGTATATTATTAAAATGTACTTTGAATAATCAAAATTGATGTTATATATTGTTCATGGATTAAATTTTATTAAGCCAAGTAAAAGTCTTCCTTATATATTTTATTTTTAACTTTCATCATAGCACAGAATTTTATCAAGAAAATTGATTTTTTAATTATTATACATATGACCTAACTTTGAACTAAGTCTTGCATCCAGTGTGTATGCATAGATATATGAGGTCTTGAATATATAATTATTAAATATATTATTTATATAATTGAAAATATTGAATAAAACAATGCATCTTGTATAAATCAGTTTTCTACAATGTAATTATATTTGTACAAATTTCTAGAATTTGTATCATGTAAAAAAAATATTTTTATTAGATTCAATCTTTAATGTTTTAGATAAAATTGTTTTTATAATATAATTTTGTTTAATATCGTATAATTTGAAAAATTTTTAAAAATTCATATTTTAATCATTCATTAATACCTTTAATGTTAAATTGCAATTGGACTATTTTTAATAGAATTATATAGAATGGTTATTCAAGGTGCACATTTTAAATATTTTATTTAAATAATATGTCACTTTTAACAAATGGTTTCTTTTACTTGCTCTGAATTATTTTAATTAAGATAAAATAAAGATAATTGAAATAATGAGAAAGATTTATAAATCAAATCTATATTAGTATTTTTTTTTTATTTCATAAATAGTTAAATTCTTGATCTTAAAATTAAGTTAGTTTTATATGAAAATCGCATAATTGCATTATACAAACTGTGATAATAAGTACCAGATTTAAGTAAACGATAATAATATTATCGATAACGATAAATAAGGCCTAATTATATTTCAGAAACATTTATTATAATTCATAATTATAATTTCTCAGAGCAGGTAAAAGATAGAGAGGTTATTTTATTTCTTTATATTGGACTTTAGCAGTGCCAAAACGGTAATATATGCACACACTTTATAGCTTTGTATATTAATTTATAGGTAAATAAGATATTAAAATCGGTAATATGTATCTATAAATTTTTAACATACAATGTTATAAAATGAAAATTAACCTATAATTGATAATATTTTTTTCATTTTATACAACATAAAAAAATTTATATATAATATATTATATATTATATATATTCATTTTTATAATACAATATAATTATAATAATGTTAAGTGAGTAAATAAATTATAGATTATAAATATTATTAGTTATACTATTTATCTAAAATCTATAAAAAATTTACTAAAATCAATTATGGGTTAATTACAATACTAGAATTTAATCAATTTTTGGACTTTTACATATCGAGAAGCAGATAATTGTATTCGTAGAGATTTCTTATTTCATATATATATATATGTCGCAAATTCTGTTTGTAAAAATTGTTATAAGAATGTTTTAATCTCATCATTGCTAATTGTTATGTAACTTCGTAATTTAATACGTTTTTGCATAAAACTTTAGAAAGCAATGCATTTGGTAGATAAATCAGTCATTAACATAAGACTGAAATACAAATAAAAAATTATGTACAATAATAAAAAAAAAATGTTTGCAATTTTATGCTGCGTTGAGCACATAGTGATTTCAAGAAAGTGCAATGGTGAGGTAATATTTTGAAACATCGTGTACATTAATAATTAATAGATATAAATTATAGGTATACAATGTATCGCGTTACATTGCTTATCTTTATTAAATCATATCCTCTGAATAAATACAGAAATTAGATTTTAATATTGACAGTACTGCAATGGCATTCCAGTCACATATAATATATATTGTATATTAATGTATACCAATATTATAATTTCTAATTTTCAAACTATAAAAATTCTTATTAGTTTCATCCAATATAAATCGAAACATTTCATTGACACGTGATATTTATCATCATTTGTCATTTAAATTGCAGTATTTTGTTATTTAATTAATATTTTTGAATTTTACTATTTAATTTTATATAATTACTGAAAATTATTATGAAATATAATTTAAAAAATACTATAATATTAATATAAAATTTTAATTCATAATCTCATAAAATATATGTTAAAAATCATTTTTGTAAATATAATGAATGTTTTTTATTAGTATTAAAGTATCAAAATACTTCCAATATCGTAATCCATTATATATATATATATATATATCATTTAATTGTTTGCTTTTGGTACTGTTAACATAAAATTTGAAACAATTCATTATTCAGTAAATTTTTAAAAGTAAAAATTTTTTAAAATTATATGGATTATTTATAACTGTATTATATTATAAATAAACTAATCAGATATAATTCATATATATATTCAGAGATCTGTAAATAGAATTTAGTGAAATGTAAATTTAGAAATAAGACTGTTAAAGAAAGAAATAATTTCTTACTTATAATTTAAATATAATGTGACTCATAGCAATAGAATGTTCCTATGCACATTGGATGTAACTGTTTTCAAAATCATATTATATAGTAACAAATTTTTGTATCGTTGGCTTGACAATTTTTATACCATAAGAATATACGAAAATGTTGCGTTAATGAAATAACAAATGAAATGTATCAATTCTAATAGAAATTATCATTTTCATAAAATTGTATATAAGAAATGTTAGTTACAGAAAAAGTTCCTCAGAATATGAAATGATCACGGTATCGATCGTAAACATTATAAGAGGGAATAAAAAAGCGGTGCTTGAAAAAATAATATAATGTAACATTTTTAGCATCTAATTATGTAGATAATTTTGCCTTTGTTTTGTAATAAAATAGCATTATTTATATATTAGGAATAAAATGAATTACCATTTGTCATACCATTACAACTGGTTTATAATAACAGTTTATTTTGTTAATAATATATAATATATAACACAATTGCACTGCATACAAAAAAAACATACAAAATAATAAACATTTTAATAAACAAGATAATTAAAATTGGAACATCAAAGTTTGCAGAAAACAGGAACAAATTTAAAAAACATATTAATAAATATGAAAATTTTATTTTTATAAAACATATCTAGTAACACCTTTTCTTATTTGCCGCTTATTAAGTTATAAGTTTTTTTTTTACATATATCTAATTCTATCAAAATTGTTTAATTTGCATAATATAATTTAAAATTATTTAAAAAATATTTCAGATTTTAAAAGATTAATATTTTTTCAAACTAGAATTATTTTCTTTTAATTTATACACTTTATATTTATTATTTATATTCGTTTATTTACACTACATTCATATTCTAAATAAATAAGATGCCTTAAGGAATATACTGTACGGAAGAAATATACAGGAATACAATTACGATCTTAGATTTTATTTGATTATATTGTATGCTTCAGCATACTAAAGAATACATGAAGCAAGTAAAAAAATGTGATTGTTGCGAATCACAAGCACGCGATGTAATAATTTATACATCAGATAAAACTAAATGAAATATTTATTAATCGTGCGATGTACGGAATAGATAATAATAAAATATAAGTTAGAAGGTTAAAAATGAAATTCAATGTTATCGTACAATCGCATTAATAAACTTACCTATACTCTATGATCACAGTTACATTCATAATTATTGTAAGTTATTATACGTCATTATCGTCTTTATCATCATTATTATCATATTTTACTGTATATATGTACATTCTGGTTATAAATAGATGTATGTTCAATTAATTAAATATAATCTGATTTGAAAGCCTATGACTAGTGATATCTACTTTCTTGTCAATGACAATACAGTTATATAATACTATCGCAATTCGATATAAATGAAGCTTCAAACAATTATAGATAATAACACGTCATATTTTAAAAACAATTCTATACCTTTCCTTTAATACACTGTACACATTTTTCTTCGTAACATTAAATTTCTTAACATTTAAGTCTTATATCTTTGTTCCACTTAAATTATTTTTTAGTTTTCTTATATTTAATCTAAGGCTAAGTCTGAATATTATGCACACACATCCGCGGAACCAGACCTTTCCGATCACCTCTCGCACATAACAACCATTTACTATCTACTTCTAAAATTACTTTCAGCTTCTCACCTTCTCCAAATGCAAGATGCCCGTTATCTGATGGCATTCTATGTGTAACTGTGCGAACCTCTCTGGAACCGAGATGCGCGATCTATTATTTAACTAATCTATAAAAAGGAAACAAAAAAGATAACAAAAAATTAAGTTCTAAAATTATAAATAAAAAATATCGATATATAATTTAATAAAAATTATAAATAATAAGATTAAATTCTACAATTGATAAAATAATAAAAATATTAAATTTTACAATTCATTAGATTAATATTTAATAAACTATTAAATAAAACTATATTATACATTACATTCATTTTTTCTTTACTTACTTAAGTGGCTTTTTTGCAGGAGGATTTCTTGTAGTACTAGTAGTAGTTGGTCGTGGTAAAGATGTAGACGCCGCTCGTCTTTGAGGAGATATTAAATTTTTATCTTTAGACATTACGCCATAAGATTTATATGGTAGAGAACTAGGTCTCGTTAAATGAGTTCTTGTTGTTCCTACTATTTCTTGATCCACTCTACTAGTACGTTTTGTTGTATCTTTGCTTCTTGTTTCTAAAGATTTCTTTGGAATAATTTTTGTTGTTGATAATATAATAGGTTTTTTTAACGATGGAATTCCCGAAATAGGACATTTCGTGTTTTTAGTAGGTCCTGATATTATATTTGATTGTTTTACTGGTGAGGTAAGAAGCCTAGGTATT